GAGAGAGAGAGAGAGAGAGAGAGAGAGAGAGAGAGAGAGAGAGAGAGAGAGATGAGGAGGAGGATCCACTTCTTCGCCTCGGCGAGGCACACGCAACACGCAACCGCTACGCCACGCGGCGCCCCGGCCGCCCGACTACCCGCCCGTTGCGCTCGAGGCATTTCCGGCGACGACGACGACGTCGGCTCCAGCAGCCACGGAATCGGCCACAGGAATTGTGAGACTCGGCGCGGGAAAAACTTATCGAGCTTCCGTTACGACGACGTCGAGCGTAAAACGCAAAATAATCATAGACAGGATACCTCCCGGTTCTTGGGAAACCCCTTTGCGTAGTTTGCGCGCACTTCGGTGAATTTTCCTGCATACCCGACCCGTCGCGGCTGGAGTGGGCGGGTAGAGGGTAGTGGTGGTGACGACGGTGGCGGCGGGGCTGGCCTCGACGGCGGCGGAGGGGAGGCTCGCGCGCAGGCTGTGCCGGGGCCTCATCCCGGTGGGAGTTCAGCCCTCCCCTCAGCCCCCTCCCTCCCCCCTGAGCCGCACAAGGCCTTGAAGCCCCCCTAGAAGCTGAATAACGTATACGAATGGTACAGTATAGTCGGTGGCAGCCGAGCCGAGCCCCGCGGCCCTTCAGGACGATATGTTGATCATGATGATGATGAAGACCACACCTTCGCCCTACTTTGCTGTTTCGCGAGTGACTGAACGATGACGAGTCGTTTAAGCCGTCGTTCGCGTGCGAGCGTGCGTGCGTGCGTGGGTGCGTGCGTGCGTGCGTGCGGTATGCTCGCCTGACCTACGCCACTGTGAGGAGGCACGCCCTCGCGCCGAGCCCGCGGCCCCCGCGCTCTATTTCAAGTGCCCCTCCCCCACCCCCACCGCCTTCTAGGAGCTCATCTGCCGCCGCCTTGCGCGCGCGGGTTCTCTCCCTCTCGCTCTCTCTGCCGCGCTCGGGCGGACTCCCCTTGGCTCACCTTGACTTTGAGCAGGGCGGCACACTGTACAGCCTCTACACCGCGACCAGACCTCCTCCGCGGCCAGGGCTCGTGCATGCGTGGGCGGAAGTGCCAAGTTCCCAACGTCTGTCTGTCTGTCTGTCTTGGTCCGTCCGTCAGTCCATCCGTCCGTCCGTCTGGATACAGAGACAGACACTTTGTGTGTCTGTCTCGCCAAACCTCTGCCAAACGTCGCCAGCCAGCCACCCCTCGGGCCGGCGGGCGCCGCCGCCACCCCTTGCGCCTATAGGCGCCGCCGCCGCCGCCACCCCCCTTGTGGGCTACCCTAACCTCCCTCAAGCACCCTCCCCCAGCCGCCCCCGCAGCCCCGGCGGCATACGGCCCTGGCGACTCGCCGGCTTGGGGCCTCCTCGCCTCCCCATCGCGGCCTGTGGCGTGCCGCCGTGGTGCCGGCGCTGGAGGCCGTGGAGATGGAGAAGGCCTTGCGGCGGGGCGCGGGGCGCGGCCCGTAGAGAGGAAAAGGGGCTGCGCCAGGGGGTGGGGGCGCGCTGTATCGATCGGACGAGAGCGAAAGTGAGCCCGCGGCCCGAGGGGAGGGGGCGGGGGCGGCGAGAGTGAGCGCGCGCTCGCGGGAGAGAGAGAGAGACGGGGCGCGGGCCCGCGGGCCGAGTGCGAGCGAGCCGGCACTACATGGCGGTACAGTACCCTCTCTCCCACTCTCTCCCACCCCCGGCACTACTGTACAACCCCCCGCGCGCGCCTCGCGCGCTTCCTGTTTGCGCAAGCCCTCCCCCCAAAAGCCTCCGCCCCGCCCTGTTTCGAGGCGCCTAGCAACAGTCCGACGATCATCAGCTCCAGGCAGGGAGCGAGGAAAGGGGAGGAGGGAGGAAGGGGCAGGACCCGAGCCGACCGGGAAGGGCGGATAGGGAAGGGAAGGCCTATACCCAAGGTCAGTACGTCGGGGCTGGGCGGCGGTGGCCTTGTTGGAGGCTGCCGGGACGGGCACAGTGAAAGTGACAGGAAGAGGCCCGGGGGTGCGGCGGGGTGGGCGGCGCGCTCCTGGGACGGGCCGCGGTGCGAGGGCGCGCCGCCGCCCCTGGTGAGGCACCCGGTACGTGCGGTGCGGTAGTATAGTCGGCAGCTGCACAGGTGGGGGCTCAGGTGCCGCACGGCCAGGTGTGCGCCCGGGCCTGCCGCGGCGGCAGCAGCAGCAGCAGCTGGCAACAGCCGCGGTCTCTGACCAGAGGAGGGTGTCCCGCGCGCCGCTCGATCACGGATTTAGACCGACGGGGTGGTGGTCATGTAGCTTGGCCTTGGTCGGGGAGAGAAGCGGGCGGTACTCGGGACGGGTGTCAGCGTGTCCTGCTGGCGGGGCGGGGCGGGGCGTGACGGGCAGACGGGCAGGGGTTGGGGGTATTAATACGCGTACCTGAAGGTCGCCTCGCAGGCGCAAGCCGCGGCGGCGGGGCTGGGCGTACATCGGATCGCCCCCCGCCCCCAACCCCATCTACCCCGTCCTCTCCCTCTCCCTCACCCCGCCCATCCCGCCAGGGGGCGCTGTTCATTGCACGCTAAATGTTGATGCGGTTTCGAAACCGGAAATAACTCTACCACCTCGTGACATTGAGGCTGGCCTGCAGGGCGTTCGCTCTCTCCCTCTCTCTCTCTCTCTCTCTCTCTCTCTCTCTCTCTCTCTCTCTCTCTCTCTCTCTCTCTCCACCTCTCTCTCTCTCTCTCGCTCCCTCCCTCTTTGGGTGCCAAACGGAGGCTGTTATTTCCAAGCGGCTCGCCCGCGGCTCGCCCGCCGCGGTCTGCCCTGGCTGCGCGCTCTGTGGGTGATTAGCGCCTCGCGTAGGTGATGGACCCTCCTCCTCTTCCTCATCCTGCCCCTCTCGGCCGTGCTCCTGTACTCCCTCACTTGTCGCGCGGCACTACTGTACGAGGACGTGGGGGAGAGAGAGAGAGAGAGGAGGGGGGGGAGAGCTAGCAAAATAGTGAGGGTGGTGGTGAGTGGGGCGGAGCGAAAGAGGAGAGGGAAGTACGTAAGTCGTAGGTCTTCTCATCCATCCTTCTCCCTCTTCCTCCCCTTCCTTGTCCCTCTTCCCTTCCTCTGTCGCTCCCCATGTCTCCTCTCCTCTCCTCTCTCACTCTTTCTCTCTCCCTCTCACGCTCCACCGCCCGAGACCGCGCAGGGGAGGGGGGAGGGG